CCGGGTGCTGTCAGCGCTGCTGTTATTGCCGCTGGGCGCTGCTGAGCCGCTCTGCGCCGGCTGCAGGTTTCGCGGCGTGTCCGGGGCTGTGCTACTGCTGCCTGCTGGGACGCACTGCTGGTGTAAGGCACTGTAGGGCGGCGGGGGGGTCGGCGGTCGGTTCACCACTTCCTCGTAGGGAGGTAGTAAATAATTTGGCAAAAAACCTAAAAGAGGGAGGCAAGGAGAAGGTGTTATTTCGCGAACGGCCTATCTCGGGAAACGAGTCGCTAGCACGGGTCAGCATGGGGTTTGTCACCTCCCAACACCTGCCCCCCGAACAGCTCAAGGGGCTTTACAAGGGGCGCCAGAGCTTGGCCCAAACAAGACACGTTACGTTTCAGAGAAGCAGCAGCCGCAGCGCAGGAGGGCACTGTTACGAGAGAGGGACACAGCTGGGAACAGCAGCCTCGTCTCCTGGCTCTCAAGTCTAGGCTTAGGGCTACCAGGTGAACCTCCCCCCAGTACAGCTCCATAAACCACGCCAAGGGATGGCCCGCGCTGGCGGGAGGGAACGACCCGGAGAGAACGCGCCAGCCCTCGCCAATGCTGCCTTCTCAGCTGAGTTTCCACTTTCAAGAGCAAAGATTTCATCTCCCAAAGCTGTGTGCAAATACAAAGAGACGTGAGTGGTTACAAGGAGCTCAGGATCCTGGGATTCGGTTGCTGGTTTAGTGCTGGATTCAGTTTTTATGGCACGGTCAGAATAAATTGGCAGTACCAGCAAGGGTTTGGTTTATTGTACTTACAGCCCCTCACGCCTATGAAAGACACAGTTTATTTCTTAAGAGACAACAAATCAGCCTACATAGACAGCATGGACTTAAACGCTGCAATCCTTTAAAGACAGCACTGCAGTTTTCCATGTGCAACTGCATATCCTGGGGAGGAAAGCGCTGCTGGGAATTACTCCTGAGGTGGCTGCAAGAGTTTAACACGAAAAACACTTCTGCACACGCAACTCAACAGGAAACTCAGTCGTGGTACCTCTGGTCAAAGGGCCAAGACTCGCTATCGTAGCGCGCTGTATCGGGGCACAAAGGAGAGAACGAAGTGACTGTGCTTTCCCTGAGCCTGGGGCAACAGCTCCTTCGTGCAGACTCCTAGGGCTGCTCACCCACAGCATCATCTGGGAACCACAGCACAGGGCGGGAGCCACCACAGTCCCTGCTGAGGCACCACTTCCACCCAGCCTGCGCGACCGCCTCTCGTGAAGCCACTTCCCGCCATCTCAGTCCCACCAGCAGCAAGCGCAGGCTGGAAAGGAGGAGCATCCATGAAGTCTGGAATGAGTAAGAACCTTCCCAGAGAAACACCCAGGGAATCACTGGACTCGCAGAGCCAAACCAAGGGTGGGTGTGAAGGTGCTGCAGCTGCTGTGGTCCGGCTCCAAACTCACATCCAGCAGCCAAAATGGGTCACCTCTTCTCTACAAACCCAAGTTAGGCAGCAAAGCTGCCTCTTGCTGAGCCCCAGCCACGGCCCCCCGCTTCCACCCAACCCAGGAAACTCACTGCTGCCCCACTCCCCACGGCCTCCAGGAAGAACGGCGTGAGGTACGTACGGAAATAAAATGGCAGGGCTGAGTAGTTATGGGCTTCCCGGTAAGCGATCAGGTTGATCTCGTGTTGCCGCTGCTGGGCCTGGAGACGATGCTTGGTGCGTCGGTGATGGCACACACAACAGCAGCTGAGGATGATGATGATGGTCCACACCAGCCAGAACCCTGCAGTGGGGGAGAGCGAGTGTTAGCCACAGCCCGAGAGCCACATCTAACCCCAGGAAATCTCACGAAGGTGATGGAGATCATCGGAAAGCCCGGATCTTAACCCCACGCTGATCCGAAGGCAGAAATAGATGGAGGGCAGGAGGCTTTTGGCCAAATCGGGTAACCCCGAACACGTTTTGGTACAATGTGGAGTATGTTCAACAGGCACAACTCTGGAGGAGAACGAAATGTGGAGGCAGGGCTACGCTCCACCCCTCCCCAACCCACCCCACCCCTTGGGTATCGTTTCTTCTAGCCAAAAACACGAGCAGAGCTGTGAATAGCACTGAACTTGCCTCCCACAGCCGCTTCGGTTTGAAAATAACAATCAAGACACAAAAGACACTCTGCAGATTGACCACAGACGAAGAGAAAAACCCCAAGCACTGCGTTGTGCTTTTGTTCGCACTGCTCTTTAATTCCCAGCCCAAATCCTCCATTGTTACGCTTAACAAAAACATACTCTTTTTTACATCGATGTCTCACAATATTTTTAAAACTTATTTTTGTATTCAATGTCTTAAATTATCCAAAATTAAATTAAACCAGCCCCCCACTCCGCATCCTCAAAGAAACCTAACTTCTGCTCTGTCTGTGGTCGCGGCTGGTTTCTGCGCGCTGTCGCACCGTGTGCACGCTGCTCCTTAAAAGGGAATTTTAAGAGCCCTTCCTCAACTTTCTCTGCTCCTTCCAATATGTGGAATACCCTCCTTCCCATAAATCCCCCTTCCCACTTGCATGCACTAGGAATTAGGTTTCCGAGACCCACTTCGGAGCGCTACGACGTTCACTCCAGAGGCGGGCCTCTCCCGCCGCTGCCGCCCATAGCTCAACCGGCCTCAGCGGTGTCTGTAGTCTCCGTCTTTGTTAAGCTCAGTTTTAGCAGCTAAGGATACAGCACAGCTCCCCCTTCAGAAACATGTAGGTCTGGCAACCGCTCCTCAGCGGAGATCATAGAATGGTTTGGGTTGGAAGGGACCTTAGAGATCATCCAGTTCCACCCCCCCTGCCATGGGCAGGGACACCTTGCACTAGACCAGGTTGCTCAAAGCCTCATCCAGCCTGGCCTTGAACACTTCCAGGGATGGGGCATCCACAGCTTCTCTGGGCAACCTGTTCCAGTGCCTCACCACCCTCTCTGGGAAGAATTTCTTCCTGATACCCAGATCGTGACACTGTTTTTCCTTCCAGACCTCTGCCATGCCCCATCACTCCCAAACAGACAACAGGAAGGCTCCCAGCGCTCCAGCCCAGTTCAGCCATCACACGGCCATCCTGCCTCGTGAGGTCAAACTGCTTTTCTCTCCCCAGTGAAAACCTCTAGCCCCATCTTTACACCACCCTGATGTTTTCAGTGTCCTCTGCGAGTGAGCCATGTTTTCTCTGCTAAGAGCAGGGTGGAGAAAGGCGAACAGTTTAGGAATCTGAAGAACGAGAGGAGTACAGCTCGCGACAAAGTGCCATCAACCCACATCACCCATCTCGGAGCCACGCACTGGGCTGTTCGTAGGTGAACTGGATATACCGTATCGTGCCCCCGAGCACTTTGAGCAGGGACATTCACCTCCCTGTGTCATAACCCAACCCTGGTACTTGGGCACAGCGAACCGAAATCCCTCTCTTGCCTTGCATAACCTATTTCCCTAATGGACTGGATTCCACCTTATACCCAAACTTATCAGAGCCTGCTATCAAATGAAGGTGTTACGTGCTCCTTTGGTTTTTTGCTTGGCTGGAAATCAAGGTTCCTAGGCAGTTTTTGTGGCCAGCCTGCTCAGCTGTACAATGCACGGCAGAGAGAAGACTTCGCTCCAGAGAAGCAAAGGACGAAGCACTCAAGCTGCTCTCTGTACCTCCTTCAAACCAAGTGTCTGCTGCCCTCCAAACATCCTCCTGTTTCTAAAAAAGGCTTTTTGTATGAACTAAGGGATTGGTCCAGTCCACCCCCTCCCTCCAAATCCAGGTATTTGCAACCACTGTCTCCCAGTTTGCAGATTCCCACCAATGCACTTTATTTCTCGCTGAGAGAAGGTGCCTTGGCTCTCGCCGAGGAAGCGAGAACACGCTCATCAAACCCAGGTCGTTGGCACAGCACGCCACCACGCACTGAAGCGGTCCTGCAGTTCATCTTCCAAGCACTCCTTGGTCCGTGATCATGCGTTCAAAAACAATGGAAAATTACACCCAGCTATCCAGGGATTTTAGCTAGTTATGAAAACAGATGCTTATTAACACATTTGATCACGTCCTTTCCCAAGGACTCTAGATGTAATGGTAGGAAGCAGCACTTAGTTAGTTAAGATGTCCTGGAGAACTGCCACTGTTAAGCAATCTCAGCTGTAGCAGCCGAATTTTTCTGCAGGGAATAACTGCTCCCACCCAAGCCTGCATCCAGAAGAGTAAAAAAAGTAGTTCTTTAGAAAACTTCTCGACCCATTCCAAAGAAATCCCAAAGTGCTCTGTAGACAAACCGATGCACAAGCTCAGAGTAGGGGTCAAAGTAAGCTCAGCCATTCCTGGGAAGATGTGCGGCAACTCTGTAAACAGGCAGTAACAACATACAACAGTTCAGCTCCCACCCAAGCCTGCATCCAGAAGAGTAAAAAAAGTAGTTCTTTAGAAAACTTCTCGACCCATTCCAAAGAAATCCCAAAGTGCTCTGTAGACAAACCGATGCACAAGCTCAGAGTAGGGGTCAAAGTAAGCTCAGCCATTCCTGGGAAGATGTGCGGCAACTCTGTAAACAGGCAGTAACAACATACAACAGTTCAGGGTAATAAATTAATGCTGGCTCCTGCTGACACACCAGGTAGCGTCTGAAACCGCAGGTGGCATTTTAAGTAAACAGACCATAATTTACTGGATTGCAATCTGGCCATGGTGCCAGGAACAACACCTCCATTCCCGCGCAAAGGGTCTACGCGCGCTCACAGCCACAACTGGAGGAGATCTGTTGTTTTTCGTGAGAGTTTCCAGAAAAAGAAGCCACTAGTACCACGTTATTGCCCTGTTTCATGAACTGCTGACACTTCCCTAGAGCTTCTAGGAATTACTCCACCCCTGACTCAGCAGGAGCCCAAGGACTTGCCTGGATGATCCCGGGAGGTCAGCAGCAGCGTGCCCACCGCAGCCATTTGCTGGCCTGGCCTTCGGCGCCGACGCTTTAGCAGCTTTGCCCCCACGGTGTCACGCAACGGGACATCTGCACTGTAGGGCTGAAAGCCCCCCCAGCGCACAGGAGCGATAGGACGGGACACCCACAGGCACTGAGGCACGCAGGGACACCGTGGCTGTCAGCTGAGCAGCGGTGCCAGCCTTGGGAGATGGAGCGCGTGCAGGCCCAGCACGGTGCTAGGAGTCCAGAGCCTCCAAAAAAGGCTCTACAACACTCCCTAGCCAGAAGTTTGGGCACAGCTGCAATTTTGGTCGCAGAACAGAAAAACTGTAAAAGCCTAGAGAATATATAGTCCGGCCATTCATATGGGATAAAGCTATGGTACAAGGCCAAGTGCAACTGTAAATATTATGGCTGAAGGCATGGAGTGACTGGTGAAGATGTCCAGGGCCGAGCTCTGTGCCGGTACACTGGGTGAGGCCTGGTTCTCAGCAGCAGCAGGGAGGTCAGCCGAGCAGCCCGTGCATCCATGTGGCAGGAGGGGAAGGGAGGGATTTTCAAATTCATCCAACGACAACACTACACGAGCGGGAAACATGGAGGCTGAGCGCAGCAGTGGTACAAGCTAACAGCTCGCTCATGGCAAAAGCGAGTACCAGCTCTGCCTCGTGCTGAAATTGGGTGTGGTGTGCCAAGGCAACAGAAGTTTGGCATGAAAAGGCCTCTAAAAGCCAAGTAAAACCGAGCTTCTAGTTGCCTTCGCTGTCCCCAAAAGCCTTCCCGGTGCTCTAACATGTGCCTCCTTCCCATGTAGATACGAGGTGGTTTTCAGCTGCACCGTGCTGAGTTATCGCTGTAGTCACTGGAAAAAGAGAAAAGGTCGCTGGGCATCCTGAACCAAGCTTGGCACTAAATGTCTGATTTGAGAGAGCATTTCCCACCACCAGCCTGGCAGTGACCACCGGGAACTTGCTCATGGCAAGCCAAGGGCAACGTGACAGGCAGAGAGCAAACAGGGTCTTTGGAAAAACAACCGCTAAGGGACAGCATCAAGAGAAGCAACGCAGCGGCTGAAGGCAATTTCAACTCTGGGTTTATGGAAGAGTCAGAAATTGAAACACCCTCCACTCCAAAAAAGGCTGAGTCCTGAGAAAAACTGATACGTTTTTTGTCAAATTCACTGGTGATGCCGATGGGTCGATAATGATGCGACCAAAGGGTGAAGCAGACACAACAAGGAGCTGAGTTTTGCCAAGAGATTTCCTTGCCAGAGCATCAAAACCTTTCATAAAAATAAAGTACCACCACCCTCTCAGCCAGCATCAGTCAGGCTCAGAGCCGTAAGCTCTACACGCGCGCCAAGCTCAGACTCGGAACGGGAGCTGCAGGAAGACCTGGGAACAGAATCAGCTGCCACAAAAGCCATCTCCTGCGAGCAGAGGAAACGCTGACAGAAGAGAAGGCATTTACAGCGTCCTAGGGAAAGGGAGCCCCAACACCGGGTCACACACCAGAGAGGTTTTCTACCGTGTGAGAGAACAAGCCAGGCTTAAAGCTTCAAGAAAAACCTTTCTGCGTCACCGACCATAGTCTTGCCCAAACTTAAAGAGTAATTAAGAATAAAATCATTTAAGAATAAAAAAAACCCAGAGCATTCCCTCCTCATGAAAAAGCAGGGGAGCAACGTTTAGTCTGATGCCGTACTGTATTTGCTGCCTGGGATGTTGCCATCAGCATCCCCATTGAGGGAAGCTCCTTTTATCCTGTGCAAAATGGAAAACGTTTTCTGGAGCGTTCCAAGGGTAGGAACAGAGAAATCTGCCCTCAAGTTCACAGCAAACTT